ACTGTTGGATTAGACAAAAACTAAGCCCAGATCAACCAATGACTACTTGCTGTTATTCTCTTACCATCATGGTACTGGCACAGGGCCCTGAAGGACTCAGTCTAATGGGGCTCGAATAAATAGCATGTACATTTCCCAGAGCCATCATGCCAAGGGTATTAGCCTGTGTGATGAAGAGAGAAGCAAGAATGAGACCTCCCCACTAAAGGGCTGCGGGGAGATGCCCCCAACCCCAATGGGAAGATGACAAAGATGGAGAACACAGGGAGGCTGTGCTCATCCCACGACCAGGAAAATGAGGAAGGAGATGAGGAGGATCACAGGCGGGGAGGAGAAGATGACGCTCGCCCCTCTCTGGTAGGAGGCAGCCTGGTACTCCTTCTGGTACTGGGTGATGCACATCTGCTCCACCACGCGCTCCATCATCTTGATGTCGGTCTCAGTGAAGTTCTCCCCCTTGGTGGTGGTGGTGACCGTGTGCTGCTTGACCGTGATGTTGACGCAGTCATGCACAAAGTTGTTCTGGTTGTTGTACTGATCCACCGGCCTGTAGTACACTTGGTTGGGGTAACGGTACATGTTTTCTCGATAGTAACGGTCCTCGTAGTCATTGCCAAAATGAATGAGGGGCCTGCTCATAGCGCTCCCCAGCATGTAGCCGCCCAGGCCCCCGACTACCGCCCCTGCCGCGGCAGCTCCTGCCACATGCTTCATGTTGGTTTTTGGCTTACTGGGTTTGCCCCATTGACTGTGGGTGCCACCACCATGGGGTTGCCCCCAGCCGCCACCATGAGGCTGCCCCCAGCTGCCACCATGGGGTTGCCCCCAACCGCCACCATGGGGCTGTCCCCAGCTGCCACCATGGGGCTGCCCCCAGCCACCACCACCCTGGGGTGGGTAGCGGTTGCCTCCAGGACTGCCCTGCCCTGGGTATCGGCTCCCCCCAGTGCTCCATCCTCCTCCGGGCTTTGGTCGCTTCTTGCAGAGGCCCACGTCACTCCATGCGGCCACGAAGAGAACCAGGATCCAGCCACCTACGTGGCTTTTCATCATGATGACTTATCTGCAAAATGAAGAGGGGGTCAGCATTCTGTTTCCGTCGAAACCACTTAGCATTTGCTCTAGAGGGAGTGATGCACAGCAATAGCCCCAGCGGCTCCTCCCCTGCCCCACACTCTGTCTTCCTTTGCAGCATTTATGGCAAAAGTAGTTTTAAGTAAAGGGTTAACACGACTCTTTCTCCTTCTCTAAGGACAAATTTGACCTTAAGAGAATTTCTGGCTGTTTCCTGGAAACTTGGTAAGGTTGGAATGCCAAGCAATGTTGCTTATGGTAAAAATAGCTTCTGATTGATAAATTGAATCTGGACTGGGAGAAACTATAAACACAATGTGGGTTTGTCACAGCTTTGAGTTTCTTGAGAGCAATGGTTACTGCAATCCAGCACATCCTTATGGGGACCCTGGAAGCTGTCTCCATTGGGCTGTTCTAAGGGACATCGGCTCCTGTGGGGCCTGGGGCTTTCAAGGGGAACCCTTTATCCACCAATATGGATCTCATTCCCTTGCACCTCAGCAGTCCCCTGTTGGGGCAGGGGTGCAGACAAGTCCCTGGCTGCTGTGTAGACTGCCACAGGGACCCTGGTGTGGCCCTTCTGAGACCCTGGTGTGGACCCATGGAAGTCTTGTGAGTCTAATGTCTACTTAGGAAGACCCTCAGGTGGGCACTGCAGTAATTAAATAACTGTAAGTAGCTGGTTCATGTTTTCTTTCCTCGGTGGGAAGGTAAGCAGGGAATGGGCCTCTTGTATGCTATCTCCTCAGGGCCTAGGGCAGTGCCTGGCACAGAGCAGATACACAACAGATGTTTGTTAGGTTAAGGAATTAATATCCCTTGAACATACAATCGCCAACAGGAATTTCCTCAAAGCACTTCTCAACAGAATATTTTTTGGAAACAAGAAACATGCAGGATTTTGCAAGCCCACATGTAAATTCATTTTTCTCTCTGTAGACAGACAAATGAGGCTGCTTAAAGTGGACTAAGATGGCTGTACTAACAAGATTTTCAGTCACTTGCTCACTGCATGACTTTCAGTTCAGCATTTAATTGTTTCTGACTGGCTTATTTTCTCCAAATTTTTGGTACAAAAGAAACATGTCTTATATCAAAGGGCTAGCACATGTTAGGAATAAACAAACAACCCAAGTATCCTGGATGATAATTTATGACCCTTTGTACATTCATCAAATAAAAAATAAAAATATCTCCTTTCAGATTAAAGATCTCATTTACCCTGGATGTTCAGTTCCAAGGACAGAGATCAAAGACAAACAGTAGAGTGATTATTAAACAGTTTCTATGGTACCCCATGTCAAACCATATGCTGCAAAATGTTATTATTGCCGTAAAACCAAAACTGGCATACGCTGTAATGCTGCTGTCAATTTTATCCCCAGCACTGAGGTTATCTTCAAACAAAAGCAGCGTAACGTATGAGAAAATTATTTTTAATATCCCTCAGAGCTAAAAACTAAATTGGATAATTTTCAGAGGAAGAGGATGAAACAAATAATGAATTAACATCCGTTAACATTTCCACTAACAAAGAACATATTAATGCTGGACATAAGTACATAGAAATATATTTGAAAGTTACAAGCCAAGGTAAACTGCTCAGGTCACCTTACGATTTTTGGAGGCTCTTTCAGACAGGGGTCAGAGGGAAGTTGGCTGTTGGCCTCCATGCTGCTAATGCTTCTGCTCAAACACCTCAGGAACTGAACTAGGGAATTACCTGAGGAGTCAGTAACTCCCAGTCTAAAGGGGATTTATGTCAACGACCACTTCATTCACCCCAATGAGCCAGACCTAGCCAACACCCTTGGGTTATTCTTGAATTTTCTTTCTCACAGCACACATGGAATCTATCAGCAGACCTCATCAGCTCTATCTTGAAAGTAAATCCTAAATCCCAAACCCCTCACATTTTCCAATGCTACCATCCTGGTTGAAGCCTTCTATTGCTTTTTGCTAATCTTTCAACAGCCTCTGACCAGCCTCCCTGCTTTCCCCCTGGCCCCTGCTGTATGTTCTCTACTCTGTGGCTGGAGCCTTTTAATATGCAGGTCACACCATGACACTTCCCTTGCCCCCAAGTGGCACTGCTTCGTGCTCTGGATAAATCCAGACCTTGCCAGCTAGGCCTCACATGGTCTGCCTCTCGCCAGCCTTCCCCCTGTACTTTCCCACCTCAGGGCCTTTGCATCTGCTGCTCCTAGGGCCTGGAAGGCTCTTCCTCCAGCTACTCAGATGGACTAAGCCTGCCCTAATGTCCACACAACTCTACCTACATCAGCAGGCGTCATCCCCTCGCCATGCTTCCTTCTGCACAGAGCAACGCCTACTTGACAGCTGTTATTTATTGCTTGCTTATTGTTCATCTTCTCCATAGTATGTAAGCTCCTCCAGAGTGGGAGTTTTGCTTGGTTTACAGTAGCGTCTCTAGTGCCTGGACAGGTGCCTGACTCATAAACATACAAAATAAATGCTGACTGGATAGCTGAGTGTGAAAACATCTGTAATAAAAGGTAACAAATAACCAAACTACATATGAAATAGTTACAACAGATCACTAATGGGACCACCTTTATAAATTTTCAAACCATTCTTTTCGGCAAAGGCCAGCTGTCTAACATCTCAACTCAGTGACCTAAACATTGATCTCATGTGCCATCAACAACGGCAGACTCCGGATGGATGGAGATGTTATGTGAAATGGTGGAGGCAGGAGGAAGAGGAGGTTGCAAGCAGAGTGACATGGAGTCTGGCTTTGAGCATGCCTCACTCAAGCCTGTGAGAGTTATGGCTCCACAGGTTCATGAAGACACTGAGCAGAAGATGACACCATATGGTAAGGGAGACACAGAGGGGGACTAGGCCCTCGGGAAGCCAGGCACAGGAGGTGGATGGGGCCACAGCACTCAGTGGAGACAGGTAGTGAGAGAACAATGGCAGGTGTGGGGACCACATCAGGTGTCACAGAAGTGGAGCATCAACACACACTAGAGAGAGATCAGTGGGGGTCAGGCACCAAAGGGTCCCATAAGAAGGTGAGCAGAGTCCTGACGTGCCTGAGGTAGTTTACACCTGTTGCTCCTGGTGCTGAGGTTAACTGTGTCCCTTTCATTCTCAGGAGTGCCCCAGTTGGGAACCTAGGTTACATGGGCAGCCTAATGATAAGGCTGGACTTGATCCTGGAGGCACTGGGGAGCCACTGAAGACTTTTGTGTTCTTTTTAAGAAAGGACATGACAGAGAAGGATTTGGAGACTGCGTGTGGGCATGAAAGGATGCAGGGCAACTAGCTACAAGGCTACACTGCAGTGATAGAGGTAGCAGATGGCAGCCTAGCCAGGGGACAGCCAGGAGACGATGGTTTGACTTAGAAAGTAGCTTCTGGAGGGCTTGGTGTTTGATGCGGAAGGTGAGAGACTTACGAGTCAAGGTGGTGCCCAGGTTTCTGGATGGGCAACTGTGTGGATAGAACACGGAGGGCAGGGCAGGTCTGGAGGGAGATAAATGAGGGGTTTGGCTTTGACCAGCTACATGTGGAACAAGAGATACCTGCAGGCAGTTAGCCTGGTGAGTCTGGAGTGACTCAGCCTTGATGAGCGGGCAAGAGGACTTTGGGGACATGGATGTATGCTGCCAATCGGTACCTTACTGAAGCCAAATACTGGATAAAGTTGGATAACCATAGAGTATAGGAAGACAATATCATTGTAAAATCAGTTGAGAACAGCAAAAGCAACATTTATCGTGAAAAGCATTAAAAATAACTACATTTTGAAGTAGGGATCATTTCTAAAGCAGGAGGGACTAAAAACTCACATGAGCCCTTAGATGATAATTTTTGTTTGTGATAAAATGAGGAAGATCTTGTATTAATTATTTTATGCAAACCTTTCACTCTATAAATTAGTCTACCAAGATTCAGAATGAAGTGGCATATCGATGATTACAATGTTAGTGACATAGCTGGGAATGAAGACTGGGTTTTGAATCCCTGGCTGCCCTATGATTATTCATATAAGATGCCCTGTGAAAGGTCAGCTTGTGGCCCAATCCTTTGGCACATTTCAAGACTTTAAGTGTTTTATAAATGTCAATACCTATATATTACCAAGAAAAATACTCTTTGCAGACTAGCAATAGGAGGAAACTCCCCTAACTTGATAAAGGTTAGTTAACACAAACAAACATACTTAAAGGGTAGCCTTTGAATGCATTTCCTTTAAGATCAGAAATGTGAGAAGGAGGTCTATCATCATGGGACTGGAGGTTCTGTCTGATGCCATATGTAAAAGACAAAGGACTGCAAGGAAAGTGCTTCAGCTGTCATTATTTACAATCGATGTGATTATGTAAATAGAAAATCTAGCAGATATGACAGAGGTAACAGGAGACCCAGTATTAGAGCTGAGCAAGGTTAGGGGATACAAGATCAGCCTACAAGTCAACAGCGTTTCTCTACGCCAGCAATAATTTTCAGGAAAAAAAATTTAAGAAATAAGATGCTCACAATAGCAACCCAAACTGTGAAGTATCTAGGAATTGACTTAAGAAAAAAATAAGGCGGAATAAAAATTTTTTTAACCCCAACAAAGAGGAGAGAAAATGATCTGTAAAAATGGAAGGTATTCCAGGGACTTGATGGGGAAACTTAGTATTATGATGATATCAGTTACCCGCAAAGGAACCTATAATTTCAAAATACCAGTCAAAGGTCCAATTGGATTTTTAAAGGAGTTCAATAAACTCACCAGGGGAAGGAAATGTCCATGGATAGCAAATTTAACCTTAAAAAGGAAGAACAAAGGTGAGGGAATCTGCTGTATCAGACATTAAATTCTACTGCAAAGCCACAGTAATAAAGATCATGTGGTAAAAGTCTTGGAACAGATCCACACAGCAAAGAAAGCAGAACAGCAAGTTCAGAGAGAAACCCATATGTACATGTTAGCAGGAACTTGGTACATGATAAAGCAGGTGCCACGCATCAATGGAGAAAGGGAAGCTTGTTTAGTTGATGCTTCTGGAAACTAGAGAAAAATAAAACTGGATCCCTAACACCACATGCAGAAGCAGATGCTAGATGGATTGAAGACTTACCTGTAAAAGTTAAGAATATGAAGTTGAAGAAGAAAATATAGGGGAATGTCTTTGTGACCTGAAGGAAGGGATGGGGAAAGGACTTTTTTTAAAAAAAGCACAAATTGTGAGGCAAATAATTGGAGGATTTTATTACATAAAAATTAAGGATAATTGTTCACAATGGAAAAAGTTAATAGAATCCACAATGGTAAAAAATATTTGTAGTATTTAATGACCAAGAGGATTCATTTTCAGAACCAACAAGGAATTCTTGCAAAGCAGTGAGGAAGAGTAATGCCAATGGAAAAATGGTCGAAGATACAAAGTGATAATTTTCAGAAGAGGGAAAGCCAAAAAAGGCATGAAAAAATATTCAAAATAATTAAGAATCAGATAAAATCAGACAAAAAAAATGCTATATCACTAACAGTTATCAGACTAGCCAAAAAAAAGTTGGATAATGCCATGACGGCAGGGATGTGGGAATAAAGGAGCCCATGTAACTATCAAAGGAGTGTGGGTGGTGTGACTGAACAGAACTAAAGAAAATAAAGGATTATTCAACTCAAAAAAGGAACAGAAAGAGAACATTTCAAAATAATGCATCATAGTTACAAAGACATAACAGAAATGAAAGTAGGACTTAATTAATAAAAGTCAGAAAAATGTGTTATTTCCAAAGAAGATGTAGCTACCTGACAACATAACACAGGCACACCTGGGAGGTCCCGCGTGGGTTTCGCTCTAGACCATCACAAGGAAGTGAATACAGTGATAACGCAAGTCCAATGAACCTTGCAGTTTCCCAGTGCACATAAAAGTTGTGTTCACCTTATACTTACGCAGTGTACTAAGCAAACAATGCATCATATCTGGAAAACGGTACCTGCCTTAATTAAAAAATACTTTATCGCTAAAAAATGTGAACTATCATCTGCGCTTTCAGGGAGTTGTCATCGCTGATCACAGATCACCACAACAAATATAAATTATTATTTATAATTTAAATTGATAATTTATAATTAATGTATTTAATTTATAATTTATTATGAAAAGTTTGAAATATTGTAGAATTACCAAAATGTGACACAGAGACACAAAGGGAGCCAATGTTGTTGGGAAAATGATGCCAACAGACTTGCTTGAAACAGGGTTGCTATAAGCCTTCAATATGTGAAAAATGCAGTATCTTCAAAGTGCAATAAGCACACATATACCACTAGAAAACACAACAGTTTCACATAGGGAATGAGAAAGGCAAAACAGCCTTAAAAAGGAACACTTTTAAAAGGGTAATATCTTACTATATACAACTTTGTTTTATGAATTAAAAATGTGTGTGAGATGGACAACGTGTCTACTAAAAAATAAATTACAAATATCAACTTTAGAATTAATTCAACTAATATTTATTTATAAAATAACTAGTATGTGGCAGTTCTTAAAGAAATAGTAAACTTGGATTGAGAAATAACCAAGAAGAAATAGAGGAAAAAAGTCGTCAAAATGACATATCTTAATGTAATGTTTACAGTAACTAATTGATCAGTTCAAGAAATATCTATTAAGTGTCTCCCAAGGCCCTAGCGCTGTGCTAGGGGCTGAGGACACCACAGTGAGGCATTCTGCTGGCTGTGTTCAGGGACCAACATGGAGGGTAAGTGTCTGGAGCCTAATATGACAAGTGGGTGAGGGCTGGATCACCAGAGCCTCATGGCCACAGAGAAGGTTTCCTTTCCAGTTTATTTCAAAAGTAGTGGAAGCCATTGAAGGACCCGTGGAGAGTAACCTGACAAGATTCTTTTTCACAAAGCTTACTCTGACTGATTATAAAGAAGAAAATTTAAGGGGTCAAGAGAGGAACAAAATGGTGAGACCAGTTAGGAAAGAGCTGGAGAAAGATGGCCTTGTGGCCTGGGATGGTGATGATGTAGTTGAGGGGCTGGGAAAAAGAAATGAGATGTATTTTGCAGAGTGAACCAATTGAGACTTGCTAATGGAGTGGAGGAGTGAGGGTTGACCAGATTGGTGGCTTTCTTAACTAGGCAGATGGTGGCCACACTGAAGTAGGGGAAGCTGGTGGAAGGTCTTGCTTGGAAGAGAGCACCAAGAATTTTGTTTGAACACATTAACTTTGCTACATCTATGAGATGCTCAAGGGGGAGTATCAATTTAGGCTATTATTTTAAGAAGCTAGAACTCAGCAGAGATAAACTTTTGGGCACCTTGGCCGGAGAAGAGGTTGTTGATAGCCAAGGGGAGAAAGTGTTGAGTCAATCTCTAGTACTTTGAGGGCAAGGTCTCTCAGCCACCCAGCCTCCAGCTACAGGGGTGCCAAAGTCCAAAAGAAAACTCCGACAGACTGATCTTAACTGTTGAGAAAAGAAGAATACCTTGTATTCCTAAAGTAAAGGCTATTTTAGTAATACAAGGATGGCTTACAAACAGAAGATCTATTCATCGGTTAAGGAGGAAATAAAACCATAAGATTCTCTGCAAGTGTTGAAAAGTTTTCAATTAAAAGCAACATCCATTCCTGATTTTTTAAGTTTAAGCTGTTAAAAAAGTTTCTGTAGAACTAGAAGGCAGTCCCTTTCCATCAGCAAGAATTACTACTGCAAACACCCAGTTCACACCCTATTTTAACTGAGAAAGGAAAGGCATTCCCATTAATGTAGTGAACAAGACAAGAAGGCAAGCAATCGTTGGTATTTCAGATTCCACATGTTCTAGCTGGGGATGATTTTCCTATCTAGAAAATCAAACAAAATGTCTTAGAATAAATGAGTGAGTGCATTATGTTGGCAAGTTTTGAAATCAATACACAAGAAAGCCCAATGAGCCCCCAAATTAATTGTAATTACTTAGAAGATAAGCATGGAAAAAACAATACACTCACAGTGGCAATAAAAAAACCCAAACTATCTAGGATTTAACCTAAAAATAAATGAGACCTATATGAAGAAAGCTGTAAAATTTTACTCACAGACATAAAGGAAGACCAGGAAAAAAGAGAAAGACAGTTTTTGGTTGGGGAAACTAATATTGAAATATTGAAATATGCCAGTTCGCCTCCATATAATTCATAAAGACAATACAATTTCAGCCAGAATTCAAAGGGGATTTTCAGAGCATGACGAAATGATACTCAAAATTAAGAAGAGTGAAGAAATTGTTGAAAGGGGAGAAAATCCAGGGCACACCTGGCCTGCCATGTATTAGAATGCATTGTAAAGCCACAATGCATAGGATCACATACTGGCACTTACGCAGGATGGCAGAGCAATGGAACTAAAGAGAAGGTGCAAAAAATATCCATAGATTACCCCACTCAACCTATTTCTGTACATACACAGGGACTGAGAGTCTGATGTGACAGGAACTTACCCAATGGTCATGTGTCAGGGGCCAAACTTCTGATTGACACTTAGAACAATGCGCTACAACTTGAAACTTAATTGGCACCAAATAGCTCCCCCACTACCCCAGGGAAATTTTGTTTCTCCTGAGTTAAGTGGAACTCACTTGTCATATTTTAATCTGTTGTAGGTCACTGCGCCTCAAAGAAGCTGGTGTGAGCGATACCCAATTTTGCCAATTATCTTGGATTGGGGGGCTTTCACTGGTACCCTGAAGCCCAGCCCTGGGCTCAATAGGGCAAAGGACCTCTAACCTGGTCCATCAGCAGAATTACTTGAAGGGCTTTTTATAAAGCAGTATTGCTGGAGCCTATCCCAGGCCAATAGTCTGAGGATGTCTGAGTGATGGGATCTGGAAACCTACAAAAGCTTCCCAGGGAACTGCACTCCAAGCCAGGCTTCAGAGCAAGGTCCTCGGGAGCGTACCACTTAACATTTATAATGCTTCTCATAAAAGGGTACACTTCCCTTGACGTGATCACACAATATTGCAACAGCAATAAGTAGAATGGACTGGGGTAAAGGAATTAACAAATTGAGAAAAAATTCTTGCAATTGTAAGAGCTGCTACGTACACTGTTCACCTGGGATTATTTTATAATGCTGCAGCCAGCACAGGCATGTTTTGAATGTTTAATACATAGCAGTTCAAAGTTGATATAGTTACCTTGGAAGAGGAAATACGATCTGAAAAGGGAGAATGCAACAGGTAAATTAAAACTACAGCTTAGACTTTTCACCTCAAAAAACCTTCTGTCAGGTGGTTGATACCACTTTCAGTGTCAATTTGGTGCAGGAATGTTTGTTCTGTTATTGTTGTCTTATTGTATTATTTTTTTAAATGGTTGCTTCCTCACATAGTTCAGCCAGATTCTAGAGAAAGCTGTGACCCTTTCCCGGCAAAATCAAGCAGCTTTAATAAGAAAGGATGATGCAATAGGTATGAGTTACACGTATAAACCCAAGTGGCCTCTAAAGTAGGCCCTTGCGATCCATCTTTCCAGACTTGTATTTTCTCTAAGGAGCTGGGGACTTTCAACTGTCACAAGACCAAAGAGATTCCCCAGGGTACGTACGTACATTTGTGGCTCAGCTAAACCAGACGTGTGCCTCCAGGAAGACAGAATGCCTTGGCTTGGCTCAAACTGTTGAGTTTTCAAATATATCCAGGAGTCCTTAAAAACAACAAAGAAAAACCTAGAAATGATGAGTAAATCTAAGAACTGATTCCTTAAAAGAAAAACCTTATAAATGATTAAATCACAAATAAATCCATTCAAGAAAGAAATAAGACAGTAATGGAAAACAAAACAAAATGAAACAAAAACGAAGTCAGCTAAAGAGGCAGGAGCTAATGAACACTGAGCTCTGGCTCTTTCACAGCCAGACAACTGTGGGTGGATTTTGTTTTTAAAACTTCAGTCCTGTGAACTATTTAAAAAATGGCATTACATAGTAAAGCAATACACCAACAAGAAAATTAAAACCACCTATCATTTCTATTAAAATACTAATTATCTGGTGGTCCTTCTTTCAGATTTTTCACATATGCATTCATGTTTGAGTAAGTAGATAGTTTACTAAACTGCTTGGACTTGTCAGTTTTTTCCCCATCTATGACAGGTTCCAAAATCACGACTTTTGAGGGTTACATAACATTCCCTTCAGTTAATATGTCACGATTGTCTTAGCTACTGCTCTGCTGTTGTACCTTTAGGTTGTTTCCCAGTTGGTTCTAACTTTAGATCATTCTGCTGGGAAAATATGCCTGCATATGGCTTTTTGTTTGTTTCTTCCATTGCAGGTAAATTCCCAGGAGTGCGGTTTCTGGGTCATGGCTTTTAGCTTCTTAATCACCAGATGGCTTTACAAAAAGTTTGTACTGATTCACAATGTCTCCAGCGAGGAGTGTGACTAGGAAAAGAATAAAGGTATACATACCAAGGGTTAAAGCTAATCTTGGCAACAAGAGGTAGGCATCATTTCCTCTATCTCATGAATGGACCAAAGGAAGATTAGGAAACTAGGTTGCCTGCCCAAAGGCACCAAGTTAGTTATCCTCCTGGGATAACTTAATTTGCAAAATTTAGGACAACTTTCTAGTAGGGATTGTTGTTACTCATTGCTGCTGTTTTTGTTCATGTGATATAAAATGATAATCCAGACTTGCTTTGATTTCATTCTACAAATGATTCATCCTTTTGCCATTTATTTATTATAACCTTCATGTTTTCCATTTATAAATATGAAAAACTTGTGTCAGATACAAATAATACACAAATCACATCCTAGCTGTCTGCTCTCTTTCCCTTTCCCGTAAGCTCTTTTTCAGTGTAAGAGTTCAATTCAGTGTTTGTGTAGATGAAACTGTTCCTTTTCACTGGTGATTCTCCTCTTTCTTCTTCAAATCATAGAGTTATTAAATTTTCCAGAGATCTGACATTTTTATTCAATTTTCTGTTCCTGTCTATTTGATAATTTGATTTGTAAAAAAATTTTAGTCCTATTCTATCTGGAGTTTTCTGCAGGGAAAAGGGAAACATCTCAAACGTTCACCATGTGGGGAGCTGCTTATTAAAACGTGATGCTTTACGTACAAACAAAGCAGCCATGAAGCTAACCAAGATGAGGATGGTGAAATTGCACGGTGGTGTGTGTGAATCTGGAGATGTGTGGCTTGAGACGGTGAGGTGTGAAATGTGATGGTGGTGGGCTTCCGATTAAAAAAAATTGTTACAGCCACTACAAAGAGAAAAGGGGAAAAACGCAAAGGACGGTAAAAATTGATTTCTCCCGATTGTTTAATAATCAGACGTGAAGGCGCCTCCCGCACGGACGGAGGCCAGTTCTCCGAGGGGTGTCCCGGGTTCCCCGCCCTCAGAGCCCCCCGAAGGCTCAGACTTTCCACTCACAGGGGCAGGAAAGTAATGGCGTGCGAAGCCTGCAGAGCTGCAGCACTCGGGGCGCGGAGGAAACCATCTGTGTCCCAACCCGCCCGGCGGTCCGGGGCAGAGAGCGCAGAGCAGGGCCGCCCGAGACCCCGCCCCACCCAGGCAGCCGGCGTGGGGACCCTTCCCGGGCTGTTCCCGAGCCCCGCCAGCTGCGGCCTCCCCAGGGAAGGTCCTAGGCGCGAGGGTGGCGGGCCGCCTCTCGGGAGGAGCGCGGGGGCCCCCCTGGGATTGCTCCCAGCCGACGCCCCGGCCGAAGCGGGCGCCCGTGGCACCAAGCCCCACTCCGCGAACCCTCTGGGCTTCGGCGGCAGCCAGACCCGGCGAGGGGTGGGGGACGCCCAGCGGACGGGGAGCCGGGAGCCCCGCGGCCCCAGTGCGCTTCTCCCCGGGGCCCGTTAGCGGCCTTCCCTGGCCTCCCCAGCCGCGTCAGCGCGGGCTGATCGCCCCCACTTCCCCGCACCGTCGGCCCCCCTGGCCACGCGGCCCGCCCATCCAGCTCCTGCCGCGGACACGCCCGGTGGGGCGCGATTAGGCCGTCGGATCACCAACATCCCTCCCAAGGGGCTCGGCCAGCCGCAGTCCGAATGAGAGGGGCTTTCACAACCGCCAGAGCAAAACGGGCGGCGTCATTCGAAGAGCACCGGCGCCGGGGCACGCCGGACGCGCACACAACCCCTGAAGTCCCTTGCCCCTCTTCACTGTCAAGGTCGGCTTCCTGACCCGGCCGGGCCTCGGCCCCCGGGCCCAGTCCTTATTCTCGGGCTCGCGGCGCCCCCGCCGCACCCCAGTTCTCATCACCCCGCCCGCACCCCCGCTGTTGGTTTTAAGCCGGCAAAGCTGTTTACCTGCCTCCGTAGGAAAAGCAGCAGCTCCCCGCGCCACGGCTGTCAGCGACTGGCGCGCAGGGCCGGCGACGCGCAGGCAGGGAGGTGGTGCCGGGGGCGGGGAAGGGAGGCGGCGGCGCTCGCGGGCGGAGGTCGGCGCGGTGACCAATTACCACGCGGCCTCGCGCACACGCGGGTGCACTCTCGGCGGGTCGCCGGAGTTTCGTGGAAAGGTGCGACCCTACCAAGAGCCGCCAGGAATCTGGGTCACCGGGAACACCGAGTTGGGATTCGCTTAAACACTTGCATCAGCTGATACCACCTCCTGATGTCATCACTCCCTGACGTTGCTCCTGGACTATACGTATTCTTCAAAGGGAAATTCGGCCCCAAGCAACTACTCCCCTGTTACATAACGAGAAAATGGACCGTTTAGGGAATGAGAAAGCAATTTCTGCAACTTTGATAACCAGAAATTTCTAAAGAGGAGAAGAAAATTTGCTACTCTGGATTGAGACCAGTATTTATGGATTTTCAAATAAATCCTTATAATTTGAGGCCTAGAAAGGACATTTGCCATCACCTGTTGTTCCTCCATTTACTCAGTTTCTGTTCCTTCTTATGCACAGAAAACAAACAAGAAAAATGCACTCCATCTAACAAGTCCACCCTTCACATTACCTGAGGTATCTTGTACAAAACAGAATGGTGTGTTCTTGTTCATTATTCTTGCTAACAAACTAGATAAAGTTTATCTCATGCCAAGGATGGCCAAGGATGAAGTGATAGAGAGGAGTTAGGATTAGGGGGCTGTATATATTATTACCCAAATTGGAGGTACTTTTGAAAGTGAAAGGGGCACCTATATTAATTAAGACAAGTCAGCAGACATACTGTCTTGGGAAAAATGGGACATCTAGTCCCCTTCTCATGGTCAAGAGGCTCCCCCAAGCTTGTAAGAAAAGATGTTTAAAAATATTGACACATCCATTGGGAATAGGATTCGAATTAAATACCTGTAACGCAGGGCAGATCACTTAAGTCAGAAGGGACAAGTGTGAGGAAAGGAAGAAGCCAAGAGAATCGTACAGAGTGACATGGACCAGCAACCTGTAATGTTTTTATGAATGTGCCTGGGAGTTTGAAAGTTCTGTTGGGAAGGGAAACTGAGATCTGGGAAATACAGATGGCCATCCATGGGAATGATTCACTAACAGAGACCTGGATTTCAGCCAGTCAGTAATGATGAAGCATCTGTCTGAGTCGCAGGCTGGGATGGGGCCAGGGGTAGGTGACCAGACTGACAGGCTGATTTCCCCCTGGCAGGAGGGTCTCTGTAAAGCTTGGTTAAAAGACCCTTAAAACTCAGTTGTTTTTTCCTAAAAAAAATCCTGTGTCTACTAGTTAAATGCACTCCCTGCATCCCCCAGCAAGGAGAGGCTCAAAAGGCAGATGATTTCCTGGGGGTTTAGAGATCCAAAAGGTGTTGTTGCCTTATGTCCTACTCTGGCTATTATTATTATGTAGCAACTGCCCCAAAATTTAGTGACTTAAAACAACCCCCATTTTTTTATGCCCATGGGTTGCACAGGCACAGTGGGGATTTGACTCTGCCCGTGATGCTTAGGGCTGCAGGCGAGAAGACTCAAAGTCAAGGGTGCCTTGATAGCTGTGGGTTGGAATCACTTGAAGTCACTTACACTTGCATAATGGGCGCCTGAGCTGGGAAGATTTGAGGATCAGGTGTGCTGACTGGAGTGCCTACCTATGGCATCTCCATGTGGCTGGCTTACTCCCAGCGTGGTGGCCTCAGTTTGGATGGACTTATTACATGCCTTCTTAGGATGTGAGAGTTTCAGCAAATAAGAGAAAAGCTGTATTGCACTTCCCACCTAGTCTTGGAAATCATATAATATCACTTCCACTGTATGCTATTGACCAAAGTAGTTATACCCCTGGATTCACGGGAGGGGACACAGACCCCCCCACCTTTCAGTGGGAAGAGTATCAAAGAATTTGTGGTCATTCTTTAAAACTGCCATTCTGGGCGGGTAGTCAGGCCTGTAGATTCTAAGGGCTTTCATTGAGCTCATGAACAGCACCAGGAGTGGGCAGCCCAAAGGAGGAAGCTTTAGCAAATGGTCCTACATCATTCTTAATCCCAGTCTCTTTCACAGTTGTCTCTCCCATCACCACAAGGACCATATCCCATTATATCCCAAAGATGGACTGGTGGGGAGTTGGTTTTAGGGTTTGTCTGTGGGGGCCTCATTTGGTAGCCTCTTGAGCCCCTGCTGCCCTGATGTTCACAGCACCATCAAGTCAGTCTTTGAAAGTCTCCCTTCCCATTTCTTGTGTCCGGCTTGAAGTTATTTGTCAGTGTCACATAGCTTCTTCTCAGCAAATATGGAGAACCCAAAGAAGTCAAACTCTAAATTTATCTTATTTGCAAAAGGAGCATTATTTCATTCAACAACTAATTTATTGAGCATCTAGTGTGAATTAGATAGTTCCAGTCTCTGATCTCAGACATCGAAGGGAATACAAGAAGCCACACAGAAAGTGATCAGGTTGAGTTGCATGGGATTAAAGATAGCAGAATAGGAAGGCCAGATGGAAATCTCCTACCAAAACCACATAAAAGAGGAAAATACAGCAAATGCAACTAGACCTGAAGACTGCAGAACAGACCCCCTGTACCTGAGGAAGGAGAGAGGACTACACAGAGAAGGGTGAGGCTGCCAAGTTGAGATGGAGCGGGACCCAACCCTTCTCCCGCCACCAGCCTACAGGCAGAAGAAAGAGGACAGGAGTGGTGGGGGTAGGAACCCAGGAGTGCTGCACACCTGGCCTGGAGACCTGCTCTGGGAGCACAAGTCCACAGAACACTGGGTTCTAGTGATTATTGGGGCTGGACACCAGGGACAGCGGCAGGCATGCTCCACCAGTCCTGAGACCCAAAGCAGAGGTGGCAGTTTGAAAGACTTGCCGGCAGTGGGAGAGGTACCAGAGGGAACAAGGGTTGGACAGAACTCTCTCCTCAGAAGAAAGGGCAGGTGGAGGATACCTCCCGAGCCCTTCCTCAGTCCAACATACCGGAAACTCTCGGGAGCCCCAGATGCTCCATCCCCCTTGCTGGCAGCGCAGCCCCAGGACACCTCCCCATGTGCTGCCGGGAACCAACTCACTAGGCCCAGCAGCAGTACCGGACTTTGCTGCCTGGCAGGTGGAGGGAAACTCTCCCAGCTTGCTTGACTCCATCCAGCACCAAAAGCTCCTTCCTCCCTGCGGGTGTCCAAGCCCCATGCTGTGCATCCGGCTGGGGCACATTGGTCTGCCTCCTCCATTAACCCTGCAGCCCCGCCATTGCTGCAGGCCAGGCAGAAGGCATCCCTGCCCACAGTGAGCTCAACAGAGATCCTGAGCTGATCACAAAGGCAGCAGCTCAAGCAAGCATTCCACCCAGACTGAGACCACTACAGAATCCAGACAGGTGCCCCACCCATGGCACACCAACAACTGGGGCTCCCGCAAAACAGAGCCAGGCACTAGAGTAAAGAATCTTGAGCTTCTGGACACTATAGCACACCTTCTTCATAGAACTATTCTTCTTTAGACCAGGAAGCATAGCAGAGACATCTAATACAAAGGAAGAAACATAGAATCCCTGACAAAGTGAGCAGGCAGAGGAATTTGATCTAAACAAAACTACAAGACAGAACCCCAGAAAGAGGGCTAAATGAAACAGCGATCACCAATCACCTTGATAAATATTTCAAAATAAAAGTCATACATGCTCAGGGATTTACAGAAGAGTATTCCAGATCTCAGGGAGGACCTCAACAAAGACAAAAAAAACCTTCAGAGCTGCTTAGAGCTGAAGAACACAGTATCTGAAATGAAACATACCAATGGAGGGATTTAAAAGTAGATTAGATCATGCAGAGGAGACGATAAATTAATTAGAAATTAGAGAACAGGAAAACAAAGAAGCTGAGGAATGGAGAGAAAAAAGGATCTCTAGGAAGAAAAGAATGATAAGAGAGCTATGTGACCAATCCAAATGAAAGAATATTTGCATAATAGGGGTACCAGAAGGAGAAGAGAAAGTGAGCAGGTCATGCAGGGCCTAACAGCTCATGACAAGGGGTTTAGATTTTAATAAAATATGGTAGGAAGCTTTTGGAGATTAAACAGGGGAGTCACGTGACCTGATCTGCCTTCTGGAAAGACCACTCTGATTGTTGTGCGGGGCCTGAAGGTACAAAAGCAGGAGCAGGGCCTGGTAGGTGGCTTTTGCAGTGGTTCAGGGGAGAAAATGGTGAGCTGACCTAGGGTGGTGGTAGAGGAGGCATTCTGAAATGGTAAAAATGGAGATGACCAATTATTAGAGGGAACAGGCTTTAGAGAGGTTCTTTCCATTTTGGACATGTTGAATTTGAGATGCTTGTGTAACCCCCAGTTCGGTGAACCTGGGAGTTCTGGAACTTGTGCTCTGCGGCCTCACCTGGTGTTGTAGATGTGCTTTTAGAAGTTGTCAGTATGTGGATGGTTTTCAGAGTCAAGGGCTTGGATGAAAACATCAAGAGAGAAAGGGTAGCCAGAGTAAAGCAGACAGATCAGGACTGACTGGCTCGGCACGTTGACATTTTGGACCAGCAGTTGTCAATCTTTGATGTGTGTCACAGGGAGGCCTGGCTACCACACAGGCTCTGGTCTGGGAGGGAGTCCAAGGGTCTGCAGCTCCAACAGGTTCCTAGATGCTGATGACACTCTGAGTGAGAGGAAGCGTAGCTGGTAGGATAGACTGAGAGGTGAGGGCCAGTGAGGCAGGAGGAAACCGAGAGGCTCCCGGAGGCCAAGAGAGGAGAGGGTTTCAGGAAGGCAGGAGTCAGCCACTGAGGCACCAGAGCAGAGACAGGGAAGCACTCACTGGGTTTGGTGACGTGATGCTGTTATTGAGGACCCAATGGGAGCAACTTCAAGAGTGATGGGGTCAGGAGTAAATGAAAGAGAGCACAGAGGGTGAAGGAGTAGAGGCACCACTTCTGAGAAGTTTTGCCCTGAGGGGACCAGAAAAATGGGCTGTAGCTGAATTGTGGGAGAGTCAGGAAGGGTGTTTTGAACTCTAAGGATGAGGGGCCTCCTCAGGGGACCCCTTCCATGGGATACTCATCTCCTGCCGTCTGTGTGCTCTGCCCTCCCCTGGCTGGAGTCAGAGGGCGCAGCAGTTTGAGGAACTGCGTCAGGCAGAGGAGGAAGACAG